AACCTGTTTGGGAGGGTAACTTCACCAATGTCAGATTCAAGGTCTTAAGGGGATCCGACAAAACCAAGCATTCCATCTCTCTAGCTGATCTTCCCAACTTAAACCCTCATGACTGGATAATCTTGCACAACATTCTTCTTGTTAATGAAGTGGAATATGGTCCGATCATAGATCATTTCAAGAGAATGTTGGTGTGTTATATTTTGGAGGTTGCCAAGTTGGATCAAGAAGTTGCAAATGTTCTTAGGAAGAAGCCCACTATCACTCCAGTCGGTTCTGCAAGTGATTTGAACAGAATGAAGATGGGAAAGATTGATCCAAAATGAAACTCAATCATGTTCACCAGGGCAGAAGGTCAGAAATGCTTATTTGCTTTGGCTGACAAACATCTTTACACCACTTCCTGCTTGGAGCATGTTCTGGGTATCATCAATCGATGCAAACAGAATTCGGAGAGTGATAAGAAATACTTCAACGATATGATCAATTGGTACATTCACTTCCGACAAACACTTCTTGCTATAATTCCCTGACTATTCAAAACTGTGAAGAAAGCCAGTGCCACAAGAGTAAGCAAGTTGGAGTAAGCTCTCGCCCCTATTGACGCAAAGGGGGAGATTGTTGGGTATTTGGTGTTGCATCTTGGGCTCGTCTCTTAGTCCCATTTTGTATCCGGTATGGGTCTGTCCATCTGTGACTTGTTTGTTAGGGTTTGTGTATTTATAGATGCTTGCATGCATCTTTTCCATAACTGATAGATCGTTTTTTACGTGTGATTTAGAAGATCTCTTTTGTAACCCTAAAATCCTCTATAGCGGAATTTCTTAATCGAGCTCTGCTGAGGATTGAACGTTCTAATCATTCGACTCATTCAGATCCATACTTGTGTATTGTTTCATTGTTTTATGTTTATTATCTACCTGTTACAAAGGTCTAATCGATCAAAGAGTTTATAAATCTCATCAATTCGTAAAAGAGTTACTGGAATATGAGATCCCCAACACAGCTAAACCACCTCACCTCAAAACATACGATGGCACCACGAATCCGGATAGCCACATCGACACGTACGATTAGACGATGACATCCCTTAAGCTAGACGAGCGGTTTTTGGTGCACATATTTCCCCTCTACTCTAGATGGCAATGCAGGGACGTGGTTCAGAACACTACGCCCCGGTAGCATCTACAACTTCGGCCAGCTGAAATATCTCTTCCTAACCAACTTCATTGAACTCCGAAATTACAAAAGGGACTGTCACTCCATCATTGGGTACAAGCAAAGGGACGGGGAGACACTCAGGGACTATTTCGCCAAGTTCACCAAAGCAACACTAGATGTCCCAAGGTATGATGAAGGATTGAGTGCAGGTGCATTTACCTGGGCACTACTACCAGCGAGTGGAGCGCTTCCTGCGCCAAGAGGAAGGTGAAGCATCAAAGCAAGAATACCTCAACGCCATGTCCTCCTCAGCTGGAAAGTGTCACCACTAATCAACCCCTAACCATGACCCCCACGGGGGTAGGGTCTCAAGACGAGACAGATGACTGCATTGACGGTTCAGGCCTTTCACAAGGGACGATAGACGAGGAAGAAGAACAAGAGTTTATACCGTCGCCAAAAAACCAGTAGCAAAGGGTACTAAGATGCGATATTGTGATTACCATATGAGTAGAACGCACGACACGATCAACTGCTCAGTTCTAAAATGAGAGATGGAAGAAAATCAACTGAAACGAAACGTGATAGAAATCGCCAAAAGTCTACGAGCTATGAAGGTTCAGAACACCAAAAGTCCTGATCAGTGACAACGGACTGCAATTCGCTGAGAACCCCTTCAGAAACTGGTGTGCAGAGAGAGGAATAGAGCAAAGATTCATGTTGGTAACACACCCCCAAGCCAATGGACAGAAAGAGGTGTCCAATAGGATGCTGGTGCTAGGAATCAAAAAGTACCTTGGCAAGGCAAAGGGTAACTGGGTAGACAAATTATCGGAAGTCCTATTGTTGTACCGAACCACACTGCGAAGCAACACAAAGGAAACGTCGTTCAACCTTGCCTACAGAGCTGAGGCGATGTTGCTGGTAGAGATGATGATAGGGTCAATACGATATAACACTATTAAGAGCAAACAAATGTAAAAAACCTGAGGGAGAATTTGGACCTTTTGGAGGAGCGATAGGAACGCTTAAGCATGCACCAAGTTGGATAAAAAAATAGTGAAAGGGTACTATAATCAGTGGGTCAAAGATAAGGCTTTCCGTGTCGAGGATTACGTCCTACGAAAAAACGAGGCTAGTCGAACGCAGCCCCGTGGAAAATTGAGCCAGACGTGGGAAGGGTCGTACAAAGTGGGAGAAGCACATCGCAACGGACCATATTCTTTATAGACACCTGAGGGAAGACACTCCTGAGAACGTGGAATGCAAGGAACCTAAGGATGTTCCATTTCTGAGTGATTTCACGAACCCCTACACAGAAGGGAGGACAATTCTAGTAAAACATTCCCTGGTCGGATTGATCACCCGGACCGATAGACGGACGCTCAGTGTAGTCCGATAGAGAACCTTAGTGCACTAAAAAGTAGCATGTATCAGGATTACATAATGGCAATAAAAATGCGCTAGATTTTATATATATTATGCACCATGGGCATGTATGATGAAATAAAATAAAACACGAAGGATACTTAGTGAATCCACACCTGCATACACACATACTTTCATAAACAAAAATATAAAGCAACAAAATGACTAGTCTTAGAATAAAGTCTTAGCAAGCAACAAAATCTATACAGGAGGCTTAGTATGCCCACAATCTTAAAAAAAAATTCACCCAAGGGTAAACAAACACACCAATTCACATAGATAAAAAGAAAGCAATACAGTGCAGAGTAGTGCTAAAGCTAATAGAAGCAAACACAACTATTGTCATTCAATACACAAGCAAAAACCCACAAAAGGCATTCAAGACCATAAGTCATTGAAAAACAAAGAAAACAGAAAGAAGAAGAAGAAAGCTTCATCAAATTTTTACACCCCGAAGGGTAGCTATAATAAACCTCAAAACCACCGGGAACCCTATTACCATCCCCAACAACACTAATCGTTGGTCCACCACCACCATCATCAACACCAGTGCAATCCCCTCCAGTCAGAATAGTCGCCACACCCACCGCAACATCATCAGCCTCATCAAACTCACATAACGCCCTTATCCCATTTACATCAAGCTGACCTAATCCAAGTAGATCCGCAAAATCCATAAACGCAAAACCCAGCAAAGCATCATCCGGAGCTGAAGAATCACTTGAGCAAGAATCGCTAGCAGACGGATCATACGTCCCAGCGTCAACCCGTGCTTTCAAACCTAAACGGTCCAATTCCTCACATGCAACCAATGCAGCATGGCGAATGCGACTGATACCCCCGGAAAATCTAAGGTGTTCTATGAGTTTATCCATTACGCGCATAAGCCCAACCTGAAGTAGCAAATCACGGTCTGCTTTCAAGATCTCTAACGCACGATCACGGTCAACAAGTTCACACTCTAGGCGCTCCTTTTGGATCATCAAACCCTCATTTATCTGCGTCAGCGATTCCACACAAGCCTCCAAATCACGCCAAACATCCTCCAACAAAAACTTCCCTGATACCATGAACTTATTTTGTTGATCGAATAGACGATCGGTAGCTCCAAGCTCCTCCACCTGCATCTTCAAGGCTGCCTCGCTCACCACCTGAGCAGAGTGTGCGCGCTCTATATCATCAAGTCGCTGCACATGATGGCATCCAGCAGCAAGGTAAGTCATGGCATGTGTAGCAACATAAGCCAGATTGTGGGCAAAGACAGTGTTGTTCAGTGTGTCCATATCATCAACAGTGGCAGGAGGAAGGGCATGACAGGTAAATCCATAGCAGCGAAGTGAACAGACAAACAAGCGTCTGCTTGAAATTACAACCGAGAACAAAGAAAGAAGGGGCACAGAAAGCCTTAGCAGCAGAAGACTCATGATGCAATCGCTCAACACTATCTCTTGAAGATTGAGAGCAAACACAAGGATTTAAAGCAATCGGAACAGGAACAATGGGCTGCTGAGGCGCCCCCTCAATACCCTCAGACGGTTGAACGTCGTCATTGAGTATTACTAACACATCTCCATGATGAGGCGGCACGGAAGATAGTAGATGCATAAGTCCACAACATTGCACCACACGGTTGCCAATGCAGCCAGAACTACCCTCGGATACCGACTCACCCATCGCTTGAGCATCTTTACGCTTCTCATCAACACGATGTATGCTGGTCATGATTCCATCCTTACTGTCCACCACATCATCCGCTGAAGGCTCACCGGATGGGCAAGGTACTGGGGTAGGAGAGAACAGAACATCCGACACTGCCTGGTTACCCGTCGCAGTAGAACTCCCCACTGGTTGTGGGGGCGTCACAAAAGAGATACTCAAGCGACGGGGAAGAAGTAAAACCTCATGAAGAGGCACTACCCAGTGCTCTAACTTCCCTTTGTACCGCTTTCGCAAGATAGAATCCATAGAAACAGAGCATTTGGTACCTGCATAACGAAACCAATAAGCACAAGCATGAAACGTCTTCATTTCTTCAAAAAACAAAATGGGGGGGGGGGGAAGGAGGAACAGAGCAAATAAGAACAGCTCACCGTTAGAGACTGTGTAAAAGACCGGCATCTCCCCCCGAGCATGCAATTGGGGCTCATTCCAACTCCAACAAGAAGCACCTCTGACAACACATCAATGTCAACTTGAAGAGTGCGTGAGAGATCGACGATCGCCTGGTTACGAGGAAACAACTTAGGATTAACATCTGACAAAGTATTTTCCCGATGGTACTCCCGGCCAAGTAGTTCCGGATTGACCCATAACCACTTGTCCTGTCAATTCTTCGGTAGTTTGTTGTCTAGGACAAGGTTATGACCTCCATGCCGAGTATAAAAGGTGTACTTGTTGTTGGTGGCTGCAAATCAGGAAAAGAACTTGAAGACAAAGAAGTCGGGGATGATGCCGTTATCCCGCCATATCATCTCAAAAGCCACCGTTTTGTGAATAGCATCAGGAGTCAACATTTGAACGCTACAACCATTTCGACGAAGCATTTCTTCTTGAAAGTCGGTCAAAGGAAGTTGGAGTCCGGTGTCAAAAGTCTTCACGTAAACACCCACCTTTCCGGGAGGTGGTGAAGTAATCACAAACTCAGTAGCCGGGAACTCTACTCCGTCAGCCGGAGTAAGCCCATAAGCCACCTGAAGGGTAGCAAACTCAGAAGAACTAGGGATCAGACTCATAGAAGAAGCAATAAAGGAAATACTGAAAGAAAAGAGAGGAGAAAAGAAAAAGAAACAAAAGAAGACGGTATGAAAACCAAGGGGATTTTCCATGGAAAATATAGAGGGAAAAGAGGGATTTACGAAGACCCCTGACACAGCTGACGTAACCGCCAAGCACGTCGAACAGTCGCATCACCGAAAATGAAGCGACAACTATATAAAGGCGTGACACGTACACCAGCAGTTAAGTCCAGAACATCATAGCTAGCTAGCATACGCTATGACTACTGGACTAGGGGACTTGATGACACATCCATTAGAGTGGGCCAGGAATAAGGAAGCCTCAGACGAGGAGTCTCCTGCAGGGCCCAGCCAGGCCCGACTCGACCACTCCAACCACTAGACGCCCCAAGCTGTCGGGCGACTTGGTGGGACGACTGCGCAGAAGGCTCACCCTCGCCCAAGGTCGTGCTCTACTACAGTCCAAAGATAACGGGTCCAGGCGACAAGGAGCACATCCAGAGCATTATCTCATGGACCAATCGATGGGCCTAACTCAACGAGGAACACGACTCGTCAATAAGGATGATGGATCTTGTCGGAATCGCTGTCCCTGTCCCTCGTACGGATGGAAGAAGATCCTCAGTATAAAAGGACCATCGCCTTGCCTTGATGGGTAAGCTATCTCTACCGATTCTCAAACCATTACCCCCAAATACTCTACTAACTTGACCGCCAGAGCATTTTTCCGGGACCTCCTCCCAGAGAGAGGCTAACGATTTTCTTTCATTGTGACCTCTGAGGTTTCCCACAAACGATCACACTGAGCGCATCCTAGGTGGTCGAAAGCCAAGTCACATCAACGGCAAAAATGGGATGTAATAATCATATGATAATCAAAATATATTTTATATGTCGGTGTTTGCATGTTTCACATGATAATGATCCTATTCAATTCCGCTATATGGAAATATATTTATTTTATTAAAAAAAATGTACTTGTTTTTGTATAGTGATTGAGTATTCCATTAATTATACTTGTTTTATCGGTACAAATAAATCATTAGGGTGAAAAAAAAAAAAAAAAAAAAAGAAAAAAAAAATCCCGTTTTGGCTTTTTGCAATTTTGGGAAAAAAACCATGGAAACTAGAATGCAAAATTGCAATAAATACAATTATCCTTGGCATTTTTGGTCTAAAGCGGTCAATCTTACAAGGTGTAAGGATCTTTTTTGCGTTTGAAAAGGATTTATAGCAATTTTGCAACGCAAAAATAGAATACGTGTAGTACATATTTTTTAAGAGCCATATCAGTACCTATAGTAGCAAACAAAAAGAAATCATACATGACAAACAATAAAACAAGATTAATATGCAGATGGTTTTCTTTAACTTTAAAAAGATGATGAAAGAGGAAAATCACAAGTGCATGCTCTAGAACAAGTACCTCAAGATCTCACTTAGAATTTGTCTCATTCATATAGTCAGATCCAGAGTACTTGCCCTTTTAGCTTTTTGATCATTGCTATGATCATCTTCTGTTATTAACTTTTTTCTGTTTCTTGAGAAAGATGGTGAATACAATGACAATGACAAATTACGTTCTTCTCCTTCTCCATCGTCATAGTCTTCTTCCACAGCTTTCTGGCTCTCAGTGCTTCCAGAATGGACCCCAAGAGACAGATTTAAATCGAGAGTCAGATCAGATGCCTTCCTCTTTGTTCCTTTATGCTTCTCAAGACTTGTACTTTCTAAATCTAGAGGGATATTTTCATGTTCTTGAACCTTGAATGGATTGAGTTTTTCGGTAGGGTTTGGCAGCTTGGAGTATTGGCCTTGCAACATGTCCATTTTCTCACAGATTCTTGATCCAAAATTATCATTAACTTCCTGCGTTCCCCATGAAAACTTTTCACTAAGAGGACGCAGATTACTTTGCATACTACGATTTGCTTGTTCCACTTGGTTTATTGCAAGAATTCTATCAGCGATGTTATAAAATCTCGGTTTTGTTTTTTGAAATGAGCAATGCTCCCTCAATGCGTTATGCATCCAATCACGACGATATGGCGGTGGATCTTCATATCTTTGAACACCAAAAACGGATAATTAGTAAACAAACTGAGATCTAAAGGTACAGAAATGGTACAACAAGAAGAAGTGTGATTGACAATTAATATTTAACCATTGCAAATTCTAATTTTCTTGTAGTCTACATATATGTTTTACCTGAAGGCTGAATCATATGTTCGGTTGTAGCATTGAAGCATTGGTAGTTGGCTAAGGTTGAAAATATTTTGATCTCCACCATCAATCCTAGGATCAGCTACTGCAATATCAAGATATTAACATTAATCACGTCGCCAAAGAGAGAGAGAGAGAGAGAGAGAGAGAGAGAGAGAGAGAGAGAGAGAGAGAGAGAGAGAGAGAGAGAGAGAGAGAGAGAGAGAGAGAGAGAGAGAGATGAACCCTATTGTTGATTATTAGGGCAACACAGTTAGGAGTTAGCATACCTTGGTTTGGATCCTCGATCTTCTTACTTCTATACATCTGATGAAAGAAACACCCAAAACAAAAATAATTAGAATCCATTTTGTTGTTAGAATTCGATATATATGAATATATCGTTGTACACTTTCGTGTCTATTAGCAGTAGAAGAACCTGTAAATGACTTTTGACATGAGCGATGTGAAGTCCTTTGATATTCATCAACTGAAGAACCAGTTTCGGAGTCGCTCCTGCACAGAATGGAATTAAAACTGTCAAGAAAAAGTCATTATGGTCTAGAAGCTCAAGGACAACTCGAACAACATAAAAACATGTATGATTACTTACTTTCTTGTCCACCAAGCTTCTCGATTGCCTGAACAAACCGAAGATGCAGATCATTGGTCCATCGGAGTCTAGGCATCTTAGATCGGACATAAGGTCGGACAGATGGCTTCTTATCACTCTCCTCTATCGTGCTATTACTAGAACATCCTCCGTCCTTCAACTCCAGAACTTCCTTTGACTCGCTTTCTTCCTCGCCTTCTTCATTCGGGTACGAATCCGAACTTGTCTTGGAACACTTGGTTTCTTGACTTCTCTCCATATACGCTTAATTAGTTGATCTTTTTTTGATCTCCTTTTGTTCGATGATGTGGCCTCTATGTGTTGCAATCATCCGTTAGTCTGAGTAAATTCATTAATAGAAATGCTTCAAACAAGTAATCCTACTGCTGGCGTTGAAGTTTGAACACATAATTTTGTAGACTTTTCTTCAAAACTTCTCTACCATGTCTTTCCATTTCTAGGAATGAAAACCTAAGATACAGTGATCAAAAATACATTTAGGATACTGTAGACAAACATACCGGAAATAAGTTTGAAACCCTAGGTAGATAGATCTTTTACAAACAAGTTTGAAACCCTAGGTAGATAGATCTTTTGCAAAGATGTTCTCTCTCTCTCTCTCCCTCTCTCTCTCTCTCCCCTTCTCTCTCTCTCTCTGTCTCTCGCTCTCATGTAAGATAAATAATTCTCCATCTATATATATTATATGCACCCACTGGTATGCATATATGTACATATACATAAAAAAAAGCAATACATGTACGCATCTGTATGTGTACAAAATTTATAATAGGAGGAAAAAATATGGGGTAGGTCTCATAAGAATTCAATCGTTGTAGCACAAATTCCTACAATAATAATTAATTATTGGAGAGTACCATATCCTGCAACAAAAAAGACTTTAAAATTATAATATGAAAATGAAGAAAAGACAGTCCTACTCGTTGAATAAACACCTTCTTCCACAGAGAGCTACATATGCCGAGAAATTTAATTATTTCTTTATTGGATGAATCCAAATAAGTTCAAAGTAAACTTTCCTCCGTCTTTGTCATGATCGCAGCATTTCCCATTTCTCTTTGCTAATAGTAGTGAAACCACACTCAACTTTGGAAATATTTTTGGTGAATTTAGTTTTATAACGGTTTAAAATAGGATTTTTATTTTTAATTAGAAACCGCAATTCTATGAAAAGACACGCCACCTAAGAGTTAGCAACACAAAATTTCATCTGAAAAATTGCGACCCTCCTCATCAATCGTGAAGCTTTGACAACTAGAAAAAACAATCATTAGCGGCGACGCATAACACCGCTAAAACCACACAACATCGCCACTAAAAGTAAAAACAGCGAGATATCGCCACTAATGAGTTGTCATTAATCTTGTCGCGTCGCTATATATTGCCCAAAAAACCGCACCAAAAGAAACGTGTTGCTGTTAATGGTGTTGTGGTCGGTAATACCTTAAATCACCGCTAATGAATCATTGTCGATAATACCTAGATATAACTGTTAAAAGCGTCACCTGTAATGATGTTTTTATTTTTTTTAAATCAACTCTTTTAGGATGTAGAAAACCGATATGTAATGTTATTAAATGCAGAAAACATGAAACATTAAATGCAGAAAACGATTATATAAAGACATCCACTTAAATACCAAAAGTGTTATGATTTCTTAAATATATCAAAATCAATAAAAAAAAGTTTTATAAAGTTATGTCATAATAAGTCTAACAAAACAAACACTAGTCTGGAGTGTATAAAGTAAAGAATCTGGAAAAAAAGTATCAAAAGTTAATTTTAAACATCAAAACTTGATTTTAGATTTGATTTGTGTTTAATGACAAGAAAATTAAAGAAAAAAAAAGGAAAATGTAGTATCAATTTATCAAACTTAACGGATGGTATTTATTTGGATTATAGGTCATCCCAAAACGTTTCTAGAATTTATTGACTGATAGGTGCATTTTATGCAACTATTTTGCATGTTTATTTCTGTTCTTTCATAATCTTCTACTTTATAATTCATGCATTTAGTTAATTATTTGGGCAATTGTATATTTAATTAAGAATGTCTGATACTTCACTATTTTTTTTATTCATTTTGCAGGCATTAGAGAGTATGGAGCGTGGAACTTAGAACATGGAGCTTTGGAGTATGAAGAGAAGATGGATTGGT